GCCTTTGGGGTACTTGCAGAGGGATCTCCTGCCCCCCCTCAGACTTCTTCAGGCTAAACATGCCCAGTTCTCCCAGTCTCTCCTCACAGGGCAGTGTTCCCAAGCCCTGGACCACTTTTGTTGCCCTCCTCTGGACCCTTTCTAATTTTTCTGCCTCTTTCCTAAATCTTGGTGCCCAGAGCTGGACACAGGACACAGATGAGGTCTGACTAGTGAGGAATATAGAGGAACGACTACTTCTCTTGCCTATTTTAGCCAGCACAAGAGGCACACGTCCTGTCTGGCTTTCTGACTGCTTCCAGCCGATCGGGGGTATTGTGACCGACACCACCTCTCTGGTGATGCCGGCAGCACATGTGGAGACTTGGGCCAGAGAAGGAAGAGGAGCCATTGGATCAGTGTAGAGGGCGCAAGAGGCGGGAGAGGCTCGCCTCTTTGTTCTGGGACAGCCCTGCACTTCTGGTCCCGCAGCGCCAGGATGCTTCTCCCGCAGGAGCCAGCGCCTGGTTTCGCAGCCATCCAGGAAGCCCCGCATGGCAATGAGCAACCGTGCAGCCGTCATGCGCAATGCTCAGCGATCCATATAAATGCTGCCATGAGGAGACGTGGCAGGAAGCCATCTCCAGCAGCCTGGCCCTGGAATTAAGAGATCTTCCCGTTAAGCTCCGTTGGCTGCCTCGAGTGCCACTTTTCTTGGCCTGACGGCAGCATGCAAATCAGATAAACTCGTTCCTGATGCTAAAAGCGTGTTTGCACATTCTGCCTTTACACTGAGGCCGAACAAAGCCCCTTCCCACAAAGCAGGCCCCTCCTCTTAACGGGCGTCAAGGGACATTTGCCTCTCGATAGACATGCGAGTGGCATCGGTTCATTTTCTTCGGCATTCCAAGGATTTTGCTGTTTTTGAAGGAATGACTTTGGGAGCTGACAGAGAAGGAAAGAGGAGCTCCCACCCTTCCTTCTTCCTCCGTTAGGACTAGAAACAAGCTTTTAAAAAAGGAAACTCGCCCCCCATCCCACCCCCCAGCCACTGGAAAAGTGCATCTGTGTGGATAAACAGAGATGTTTCTGCCAGAACTTTGAAACAAGGTCTTATTTCCAGGAGATATGATATGAATGTTAAAAGAGCCATTTCCTGTGGTGAGCAAAGTGAGAGGCAGAGTCGAACCTTGAGTGTGTTATTTATTTAACTGTTAGATCTGTAAAGCCCTTTTAAAAACTTGGCTCTTCAACTGGAAACAGAAAGCAAAACAATTCCTGCCAGTGGCCTTACCTTCTGGAACCCAAAGCATAAAAGGAAACAGGCGAAGGAGGGAGAGGAGAAATGGGCTGAAGGTGATCCAGAGATGAGTGGGGTCTTTCATTGGGCCCGTGGCCAAATAGGATCCAACCGTCCAGCACTTCGGCCATGAAACCAGCTGTGCGCATCCGCCCCACTGGTTGGAGGGAGGCCAGCCGTCCCCGCTCGCTCTCCATGTGGATGCATTTTTGGGGAAGAGCAGCTGTCCTTCCCTCACCCTTCCCTCCATCCCCAGTACTAGTGGTGCCCCCTGCCAGTGGGAGGGCTTTGTCTCAAGCCGCACATCGGCCTCCTGACTGCGGCCTCATTTCTGCAGGCCAATTTCCTTTTCTTTCAGAGCGTCTAATCCTCGGGGCCCCCTTTCCGGCTTTCCCAGTGGGGAAGCACTTGCTTGATGGACGGGGAGCTGATATGCGAAAGGTTGGATGGTTGAGCCGGGGGGTTGCGGGGTTAGAAGCCGTGTCAGCTGCTGCGTCTGACCCTGCTGGAGTTGGGGAGGAGCCAGGCGCCGGCCGGCTTCTAGGCAGAAAGCCTCCGCCGTGACACTTAGCTGGGAAGCAGCTCTGGGGAACGGACCATCCCTTTCCACAACTCCGGGTTCTCCCAAGTGAAATGGTGCTTCAGATGCAGGGGCCTTCTCTGTGAGGTTTTCTCGGCCTCTGTCGTCTTGCTCACTTGCGGACGAACAGGAACAAAGGCCGGATGGGTTTACTGTCAGGGAGAGAACTTGCATAGACACGTACATTGCGAAACGCTCGCTCCGTGCTTGGCCCTGGTCCCTGCTTGCCTGCATAGCTAAGATTCCCTCTGCGACTTCCAGAGATGTGGAGCTGCTGTGGGGAGGGGCCCCTGATGGGGTAGTCCAAAACTCTAGGATCGCTGTTTCCGGTGCTAAGGCCAACGGGGACGAGTTTGGCACTGTGGAACCACGCCAGTCTCCGTGTTAGGAACGTTCAAGTTAAGTCCTCTGTACTTATGAATGAACGGCCAGAAGGCGTATTAATTTAATATTTCCACTCAAAGACAAATGGTTCATAGTAATAAACACAGAGGTCTTTGGTCTTTCACGACCTACTGCGTAAAATCGCCATCGCCACAGAGTGAGAGCAAGCGGAAGGGGGGAGAGGGAGGGCTGCTGAAGCAAGCCGTCTTGCGCTGTCCACCCAAAAATCTCCCTGGCATTTCCTTGGTGCAAAGAAAAGCCCTGCTGGATCAGTCCAAGATGTGAGGGAGAGGGAGGCCAGGATGTCTGTGCTCAACAGTATTAACTGCTAAGGTTAATATTTGCAGTTTTCCCAGTTTCTCAGGCATCCTGTACCCCTAACCCCTGTGATTCTGGAGGGCCAACTGAATATGGAAGAGTTTCTTAAGTGTTTTATATGTGTAGGAAGATAAAAAATGTACATATACTAAGAGAGACATTTGGCTTACTCATGCTAAATTCAAACTGTACATATGTGATCTGACTTACATAGAAATTCGACTTAAAGATGTTCTCAGGGACAGAACTCATTTGTAACCCAGAAACTGCCTGTACTCAGTTCTCCTTTGAAAATCACACCTCTCTGAATTTTGCAGCAAAATTCTTAAGTTTTCCAGTCTAGAAATGCATACAGACCTGTGTAAGCCAAGGGGAATTTAAAAATGCAGCGTTAGAATAATTGCTTGCCAAAAATGTTGACAGTGGGGGAAAAGGCATACACAAACGTATGTGTTGCGAGAAATGAACCAAAGATTAATGTTCAGGCCAACTTTGTTTCAGTACCATTGCAATACAGAACTATGTCCATTTTGCGAATTAACCCCATTTATACAATTGCTGAAATTATCTCTCTTTTGAATAATTTATTTTGGTTCTGCTAGTTGTAAGGATGGCATAAAGACCTGTACAGTGAAGTTCCTATCCACAACCCCAAATAATGTTACCCAGCCCTGTCCCCTTTGCCTTTGGAGATTTCATCCAGTCTTACCCTCATATTTTCAAGCTTCTTTTGACTGGGACATAAGGACTAGAAACCTAGTCTATCAATCAGTGAGTCGGTCACACAGAATTGAACTTCCACCCAGCCTTGAACCAGTTCTTGATACGTTTCTGCATGTGGTGCTGTTCTCTGGTGAAAACTCAGTTGTTGTGTTGTTTTTACTCATTTTAAGCATTGCTGGCCTGAACAGTTTTTAAAAAACGTGTTTCATTTCATTCATTCATTCATTGCAAAGTTGCTGATTCCATTAGCTTTTCCATTTGCCTTTCTTTGTATCTTAATAGCAGATGGGGGGGTTCCTAAACTGGCACTTGGCACCATCTGTGGGGGTGGCACTTGGTGCCATGGGCGAGAATGAGTCCCTGGCCCCTGCTGCTCACACGCTAAGCCTTGACGCAGCAAGAACAGGTCTCGGAAGAGAACACTGCCTTCTGCCACCTCTTCCTTGCAAGGAGCAGCTTGGGAGAGTAACTCCCTCAAGCAGATTTCTCAGGTGATGCGATTCTGAATGTACCTGTACAATCCTGCAGCCCCCAAAAGCATGCACTTCTCTGGAAGGATGCAATGTGGGGGGGGGCAAAATCGTGAGAGGGTGACTGTTACCCCAGTGCAGTTTGGCCTAAGATGTTCACCCTGCACCTCTCAGAAAAGGTGGCTTTGGGGCAAGGGTCAGAAGCGTGGAGGGTGCATCCAGCAGGAGCTTGGAAGGAGCTCTGGGCATCGCAAGATGCAGGACAATAATTTTTCTGCCCTAACTCATGAACCTTGGAATTCGGTATAGCAAGACCAGCACAGGCTGGACTGAGGACCTTTTGTGGAAGTTGGCTTGAAAATAAGCAGGGGAATGTGGAATTAGCACTCGGCACCCTTGGCATCAGCGCTCAGCTTTGTGCTCGGCCTGCCTGCGATGCGCTCGGCCTTGGGGAGAGTCCGTTCAGCTGGGAAGCCCCGCTGGGCCCTGGCCAGGGACAGGCCTTGCAGACCTGCTCTTGTTCTGCAGCCCTGCTTAAATTCTCCAAGTAGAGGCGCTGAGCACCTGTCCCCCTTTTACATTCTCCGTCCTTCATGTGTAATTTCTGCTGCTTCGTGAACTCACAGAGGGGGATGAAGAGCGACATGTGGTAGTGGACACCCCACCCCCATGAGCAGTTCTCACTTGGGCAGTTTCTCCAGGCTTGCCCACATACACTTGCCTGGATCTTTGCAAGGGCTAGAACCTTACTTTCCCAGTGAAGATTTAATCCCGAGTTTGCCATTGTGGTGGGACTAGTTACCCTTTCGGGACGGCAGTGGGGGTGAGGAATGTGTCCTGCGGGCCGGGGCCGGGCGGACGCATGCCGGGGCTTTCGAAGAGAAGGGAGCGGCTGTCGTAGAGAAACGTGTGCTTGTGTCTTTCCGTTCCACATCCAGGCATTTCTGCGCGGTGGGGCCCACGGCAGCTCTTTCCGCCCACAGGAGCTGTTCACCCCTAGAGAAAAGGCACATGTAGGGCAGGCTGGAGGGCACCGCATGGAGGGAGCCCCGCGCAACCACGCGGTTGGCGCAACCGGGGGGGGGACCCTGCCCACTGGGGGACCGTGTGCTGCCACGAGCTGCTTCTGATCTAATTTCTCTCTGTTTTCTCTGTCTCTCTCTCTCTCTCCTCCCCCCACCCCAACGCCCCCCTCCCCTGTCGGCCCGGTTCATTATTTGTCTGCTCTCGTCCTCCCCACCTGCAGTACAAATCGGTGTTCAGGTCTTACTCCCAAGACTTTGTGCCTCGAAACCAAGTCTCCACACCCCCCTTCCTCTCATCTGCCTCTGCCGGCTCCTCCCCACCTCTGCCTTTCCTGCCCGTGCACCAGTCTCCAAGCGCTGACCCCGGGGCCGGGCCAGCCGCGGCCGGCCAGCCTCCTCGCATTGTGGACGGGGCCTCTCCTGCTCCTCCCGCTCCTCCTCCTCCTCCTCTTCCTCCTCCTCAGGAGAGCAGCTTTAACGGGACTGCTTCTGTCTGCCTTCCTTCTGAAATCTCTTTCACTGATTCTCTCCAGGCATCTTCGGTGAGAACTCTTGACGTGTGCCAGGCTGCCGGGGGGGGGGGGGGGGCC